AAGGCCAAGGAACAAGACACAATGTTGACGATTCCTGCTGGATGACTGAGAAAACTGGAGTATCAAAAACAGAGGTCAGTATGGGTGTCATTCATTTTTTTTAGTTTTTTTTTTAAAAAGCCCTTTGTGTCAATCATGACAAAATGTAGAAGGTCCTTAGGAAACCAGGAATTCCAGAACATCTTATTGTCCTCCACAGAGAAACTTCTGCCCAGGACAGAAAATTAAAGTCCAGATGGACATGGCAAAACACTGAGCTTCAGATTGGCAAAGGAGTGTGAGGATGGTGTTTATTTTCCCCTTATTTATCCTGGATATAATTTATGGAAAGGGACGCGGTGGCTCAGTGGCTAAGACGCTGAGCTTGTCGATCAGAAAGGTCGGCAGTTCGCCGGTTCGAATCTCTAGCGCCGCGTAACGGGGTGAGCTCTTGTTACTTGACCCAGCTTCCGCCAACCTAGCAGTTTGAAAACACGTAAAAAATACAAGTAGAAAAATAGAGACCACCTTTGGTGGGAAAGTAACAGCGTTCCGTGCGCCCTCAGTGTTTAGTCATGCCGGCCACTTAACCACGGAGACATCTTCAGACAGCGCTGGCTCTTCGGCTTTGAAAGGGAGATGAGCACCACCCCCTAGAGCCGGAAACGACTAGTACATATGTGCGAGGGGAACCTTTACCTTTATAGTTTATGGCAAGTCAGGTTGAAAGAAGGTGAATGGGATTTTAAAATTGTTATTAGACACTTTGGTATCCTGTGCCGTGCTGACGAGAGTTCAACATAAGCGTGTAGGATTTTTGGTTAACTGAATTTCTACCAACAGCATGGAATTAAATGCTGAGTTCCCCCTCCTTTCTCTCCATGTAATTTTGCATTTAGAAAGCCTGTTGACATTTAATCAAAAGTATTTTCTGCCTGTGTTTACTTCCTCTGATTGCACCCGTAGTAGATATCCACCTTTCTACAACAGGCAAGCTTGAAGGAAACTACCATATTTTTCAGAGTATAAGAAGCACCTTTTTGCTCAAAAAAGAGGGTGAAAATCTGGGTGTGTCTTATACACTGAATACAGCATTTTTGGCCCCCTGAAACCTCACCCCCTTCACCAAAATGGCTGTGCAGAGCCTTTAGGAGGCTTCCAGTGTGCTCCTGGGGGCTGGGGAGGACAAAAATGAGCAGAAAATGGGCCATTTTTTGCTCTTTTTGCCCCCCCCTTCAGGAACACTCTACAAGCCTCCTAAAGAATATGCATGCCCGTTTTTGTGAAAAATGGGTTGTTGTTTTTTTGCCTCCCCCCCCCCCAGCTGCTCGGAGCACTCTACAAGCCTCCTAAAGGTTATGCATGCCCTTCTTTTTAATAAAAAACGGGCCTGTTTTCACAAAAAAATGATCTGTTTTTGCGAGGTTTGCAGAGTGCAAAAACTTTTTTTTAAAAAATTGCCTCTTTAAAATCTTGGTGTGTCTTATACTCCGGTGCGTCTTATACTCCAAAAAATATGGTATATCCCCAAGTTATTCTTAAAGAGTCGTTGACTTGAGTGATGTGAAAATTGAAGTCATCCATCTATAAAAAAAGTTTCATCATTGAAGAAGATTCTTTTACGCAGGACAATTTAAAAAAAAAACCCTGTTTATTTACAACTCTACAAAGGTACAATAATAAGTGATGAAACACTTCAGAGTTAAAACAAAGATCCAGAAAAGCTATTTTGTGTTACAAAGCTTAGGGAAAAAAAGGAAAGGTAACATAAAAATCATACTGGTGTTTCATCTACGAACTGGCTATAGTTTTGGAGGCACGTTGGTGAAGGAAGGATTTTGAAGCTGTCCGTATCCATGACCGCAATCCCTGGAAAACAACAGAACAAAAGACACACAGTTGTTATATATATATATAACAATACAGCACAGGCTCGATTCCCAGTAAGGGTATGGCTAGCTGATGAGAGCTAAATAGCTTGAAATAGATCTATACTAGTCTCCCTTTATTTATTTATCAGCACAANGAGTGAGCTCCCATTACTTGTTCCAGCTTCTGCCAACCTGGCAGTTCAAAAGCATGTAAAAAATGCAAGTAGAAAAATAGGAAATCCAGTCATTTATTAGGAACAACATCTCTGACTCCATGTGGAGTCAGATCTAACCACAATTTAATTATGGCTGAACTTTACCCTTGTTTCTCTCCTCCCCTTCCCTCAGTCTGTGTCATAAATCATATTTGCCAATGAGGTGCTGCAGCAGGTTGTAACATTTCATGCCCCACAAGCCTGCTGTAGTAATCTGAGATGCAACTCTAGCCAAAGGTATGTGTGGAATTCTCTCCCCCCCCTTTCCTCCAATGTCAACTTGATAACAGACGTGGAAATGCCTTACAAGTTGACATTTGGCTCCCCTCACTTCCTGAAGGTGACCTGTGTGAAACAAAAGCAATTTGAGTACAGGTATAGAACTTAGGGATGCGTCCTGCCCCCGGGCTTGCTTGGATTTTGACAAGTTGACACTGCCATCACACCAGCCCTGATTTATTTTGATGGCAGTCTGCCATAAAGTATGGGAAGGATGGAGGGATATAGGGAGGCAAGATGACAATGGTTGGATTATCCAAGGACACAGGCATGAGAACGAAATACGAATGCCCATCAAAGAGGTGCCAAACTTTGGGAACTGTTTACCAAAACAACCAATTTGAACTTCATTGGACAATAACAAGATGATTGGGGAGAGGGCCTGGGAGAAGGAGAAATAAGAAGGTTTGTGTAGAAATCCTCACATCTGGCTTTGCTTATGCTATAACCACTTGGCTTTTAGTAAAAGTATATATTTCACTACAAATGGAGTCAAGGATCTTTCTTTCCTAAATGCCCAAGCTGGGACAGGCCTGACACTACCCCTCATGGTTTGAAAGCATCTCTGAGCGTCTTACAGTAAGACTTTCAATAAGATTCATGAGAAGCCAGGCAAAGCATAAAGATATGGATGATATTTGCTACAGATTTCTTTGGCAGACAATTTGGAGTGATCCGTTTACTGGATCCTTCTCACTATCAGGATCCCTCTTTCTTTTATTACTTATTGAAGATTTTCTTCAGATTAAGCAGGGTTGCCAAGACAACATTTTTCAGGGATTCCCATATCTCTAGAGGAACTGATGAAAGCCCACTGCATTATCCGGGTGCAGGGGTCAGCAACCTTAAACACTCAGAGCCATAAAGGTCCTAACCGGAAGCCCCCAGTTCAATTCTGGATCCGACCGGAAATCCGGTTTCCCCACCATAGAGTCTCCTCCTAGCGCGGTGTCCTTTTTCCTACAGCTGTCCTAACTGAAAGCCCTATCAATTGTGGAGTTGACCGGAAAACCCACCCCTTACTATAGAGTCTCCTCCTGGTGTGCCCTGCTTCCCCCCCTAATCGGAAGCTTCTCTCAAAATTCCAGTGCTGACTGGCAACAGGGAGCCGCAGTAGAGGGATCAAAGAGCCACATGTGGCTCCAGAGCCACAGATTGCTGACCCCTGCCCTGGGGGAATAGATGGGATATTAAAGACTTTAAATAAAGATTTGCACATTTAAATTGAACTGCATATATGTAGCTGTGTTTCATAATTCATAATTTGATTTTAAAAAATCATGAGTGTGTATGTGCAAACAGTCTCCTTCTCCATCCACTCAGCAGTGCTGACCAAGGCAGAATGTGACATGTTGAAGCAATTGACAGCAATCAATGGTTAATGGATATATATTCTTTCTTGACCTGCCCTTTTATATATATATACTGCATATACATATTTTCCGACATTGAATGCTGGAAGCGCAATTCGTCCCCTCTGTTGTCAGCTATTTATTCTTGTAAAAAAAAAAAAATTGATAATTCGAGGCAAAACCGAAACGAGAGCAGAATTCCTTCAAAATGTAATGTAAATTCCTCTCATTCAGATCCTGCAAAGTCCCAGAAAACAGTCTTTCAAGTGTGAATTTACAACCACAGACCTTATAAGGCTTGGAGAGCTGCCAGGCCGATATCTTCCAAACGGCACTCCGTAGCAGACAATACTTGGTAAGGAGTCAAACGCCACTCCGTAGCAGACAATACTTGGTAAGGCAGGGACGTGCAGTCACTAGAGGCAAGGGAGGCGGGGCCTCACNTCTATCTATCTGCTATCATAGCCCTCAGGAGGGTCTTGATTGTATACCAGGCAGATGTTTCTGTACACCAGGCCAGCTAGGTAGTTATGTTATGCATGCTGTTACACACAGTGTATGCTCTCTCTCTCTCTCTCTCTCTCTCTCTCTCTCTCTCTCTCTCTCTCTCTCTCACACACACACACACACACACACACACACACACCCTCTCTATCCCCATGCATTTTCTGAAATCTGCCCTGCTTTGAAAGTCTTTTAATACAATACAATACAATAGCAGGGTATGGAAGGGACCTTGGAGGTCTTCTAGTCCACCCCCCTGCCTAGGCAGGAAACCCTATATTGTTTCAGACAAATGGCTATCCAACATCTTCTTAAAGACTTCCAGGGTTGGGGCATTCACATAATCCATATAAATTGGTCTATTTATTCATTTTATTTTTTTAAAAGGTTGACCTTTTTGCCTTGGGCCCACTTGTGATTCCACATGGAGCCAACCGTGGACTGAAGGCAAATAGGTCAGCCAATAAATATATTGTATGTAGGTATGAATATTTGTAGGTGTGTACGTATGGATATTTGTAGGAATGCGTATTTTTCTGGATTTTCAAACAGCAGGCCTCCATGTTGCCAAGAGGCCTTCTCCATGGCCTGACTAATTCCAGTCAGGAAGAGTTCGAGAGGAGAGGGAGGATCCTCTGTGGCTCCACCTCTTTTTCCTCCTACTTGTCCTGCAGGAATGAAAACATTTGGACATCCGCTAGCTGGCCCAGGCGGTTGGTCATCCTTCTCCATCCAGCCTTGGGTCACCCTTTCGGGATAAGTGAAGTAACCTGAAGTGAATTTGGGGTTCAAGTTGCACCATGAACATATCACCCAAAGTTTTGTGGTCCGGCCTAGCATTCTTCCTGGTTTGCTTTGGGGCCTGCCTGTTGGTCTACATCCATCCCACCCAGCTTTGGGTTTACCTCAGACTAAGCCAGGATAATTTTACATCAAAAAAAGGCCCGTTCTTGGATTCGGATGAACTCTACAATAACCAAAGCAACACCACTCTCGTTCTGCTCTGGCTGAGCCCTTTTGGGCGCACACTTGGCCCGTTTGATTGTCTGGACCTGAATATCCCCAGATGTTACATCACCATGAATCGGAGCATGTACAATCGGTCCCACGCGGTGGTCTTTCACCACCGAGACATTTGGTGGGATCTCAAAAACCTCCCTCAGCAGCCCAGGCCTCTGTTTCAGAAGTGGATCTGGATGAACATGGAGTCACCCAGTCACTCGCCCCCCAAGCATGGATTGAATCGCCTCTTCAACCTAACCCTCAATTACCGCAGGGATGCAGATATCCACATACCTTACGGCTTGCTCATCTTTCACCCAAAAGCCTCTCGGGCAGAAGTTCCCCCGAAAGATAAACTCGTATGTTGGATAGTCAGCAACCGGTTTCCCCAGGAGAGAATTCGATATTACAAGGAATTAAAGAAATATATTAAAATTCACACTTATGGGAAATTGTTTGGACGCCGCCTGAGCTGGAAAGAATTCCTGCCCACCGTTTCCTCTTGCAAGTTTTATCTGGCTCTTGAAAATTCCATCTTTAAAGATTATATTACCGAGAAAACTTTCATAGCGTTTTCGGCTGGATCTGTGCCGGTGGTTCTGGGTCCTCCCAGAGAAAATTACGAGGATTACATCCCACCTCAGTCTTTCATCCACGTGGACGATTTCGAGTCACCTAGGAATCTCTCAGAGTACCTTCTGATGCTTGACCAAAATGATACACTATATCGAAGTTACTTTGAATGGAAGAAAGATTTTGGGGTCTACCGTCCTCATTTCTGGAAATCACACTTATGCCTGGCTTGTGACTACATCCAGAAACACCCGGGGTACCAGTCTGTCGGAAATTTACAAAAATGGTTTTGGAATGATAGTTGTAGTAATTTTTTCCCTACACATTAAAAAAATAGAAAAAAGCTGCAGAGATCACCAACCTGAAATTGAGCAGGTATACAACGAAATACGAATTCTGAGTACAGCATAATATTTGCAATCTTTTCTTTTTTTCTGAATATGGAAAATTCTTTTCCTTAAGGTTGGACATGTTAGTCCAGATACTATGTGGATCACATTATCTTAGATGTTATCTTGCTGTTTTTTTACATGTTATTAGATAATTTCCGCATTCTTTGCTCAAAAAGATGATCACCAGCTTTCGACTTTGGCTTTCAAACCCATTTTTGTTGTGATTTTAAATAGGAATTAAAAGCTGCTAAGATGGGCCTATGTTGTGTTCCCTTATTTAAACATTTTGCACATCAACCAGAGGTGGGTTGCTCCTGGTTTGGCCCGGTTCAGCCGAACCGGTAGTGTTGATGGTGCGAGTCTCCGCCCATCCACATGCGCAGAAGTGTTGCACATGTACGTGCATGCAAGCATGAGCAAACCAGTAATAAACCGGTTAGCAACCCACCACTGACAACAACATGTTTTACTGTAGTACAGAGGTCCCCCAACTTGGCAACTTTAAGACTTGTGGACTTCAACTCCCAGAATTCTGGAGAATTCTGGGAGTTGAAGTCCACAAGTCTTAAAGTTGCCAAGTTTGAAGACCTTTGCTGTAGTATTTTAATCACACATTTCCTCTTCAAATTTCAAATTTTGCAATGTGTACAGGTGGTCTTTCACTTACGACCACAACTGGGCCCAAAATGTATGTTGCTAAGCGAGACATCTGCTAAGTGAATTTTTCTCCATTGTACAACCATTCTTGCCACAGTCGCTCAGTGAATCACTGCAGTTGTTAAGTTAGTAACATGGTTGTTAAGTGAATCTAACTTCCCCATGGACTTGGCTTGTCAGAAGGTCGCAAAAGGGGATCACATGACTTTGGGACACTGCAATCATCATAAAGACAGGTCAGTTGCCAAGTATCCAAATTCTGATCCTGTGGCCATGGGGATGCTGACACAGTTGTAAAAATGGCTATAAGTCACTTTGCAATTTTTTGATGTAATTTTGAACGGTTCACTGAATGAACTGTCATTAAGTTGGGAAGTACCTTTACTTAGATGGAATATGAGAAATAACTCGCTTATCTGGGCGCATTCAAAAGTCACAAACTAGACGCAACAAGACTTCATCCTGCATTGTTGGCATGGCATCATTTGATGCTACTCTGTCTGTCAATGTTCGCCATCTTCCAACACCTGATTTCCTTTTCAATCTGGCTTTATCATTTTTGCAATGCATCGTGAGCCAATTCCACCATACAATTTACAAAATAGGATGCATTCCAGGCAGAGAGGGTATCCAGCAGGTTCTGACCAGTTCTGGAGAACCAGTAGCGGAAAATTTAGTAGCTCAGAGAACCAGCAAATACCACCTCTGACTGTCCCCGCTCCCATCTATTCTCTGCTTCCCGAGTCACAGATGATCTGGAGGGAACGGAGATTTTGCAGTAACCTTCCCCTGGAGTGGAGAGGGAACGGAGATTTTGCATATCCTTCCCCTGGAGTGGAGAGGGAAAGGGGATTTTACAGTATTCTTTCCCTGCCACACCCACCAAGCCACGCCCATGGAACCGGTAGCACATTTTTTTGAATCCCACCACTGATTCCAGGATCCTTCCATGCCGTCTTACAATCTGCTTTCTAGATTGTCTTCAATTACAGGAGCTCTGAAGGCTACGTGGGAAGAAGAACATCTATCTATGCCATAGTTAGCGGCTTCAGAATGGTGAGCATGGATGCGTGAGCCATCCCTTTTTATGTGTAGGCAATGTACAGCCAGTTTGGCGCGACGGTTAAGGTAATGGCTTAGAAACCGCGAGACCGTGAGTTCTAGTTCCACCTTAGACATGAAAGTCAGAGGGGTGATTTTGGGACCAATCAAAAGGAGGCCGTGAGTTCTGGTCCCGTCTTAGGCATGAAAGAACCTGGTTGAGTGACTTTGGGCCAGTCACTATTTCTCAGCCCAACTCACCTCAGGAGGTCGTTATTGCTGAGAAAATAGTCGGAAGGAAGATAAGGCATTTTCACCACCTTGAAAGTAATAAACGTGGGGTACAAATCAACTAAAGGCATACAATGCACAATGGAGGGGAGTGGGCTTTGATTGCCAAGATTGTAAAGAAACTTGTGACTGTCATTTTGGGTTCCCCCATGGGAGAACGGCACCTCGCTTCCCATTTTAGTTTAATCCTTGCTTTTAATTCCTTGTCCGAAAACCATTTTAAAATGGGTTATCTTTCCCCCTCATTTGAATGGTTGGCGAAATGATTTTGTGACTGGCAAAATAGGACATAGTAAAACAATATAAATTTAAGGGGGGAGGAGAGAGAAATAAGACACAATTAAACTTACGCTGTGGAGTTTGTATGGATCCAAGTCTTTATCTATTGGATCAAAGTCTTTATCGGTTTGGGATGGAGGAAATAGTCCAATTATTTGTCTGATTAACCTATAAATGCAGAGGTTTATTTTTTCCAGAAGGAAAACTTGTTTTGGCCTTTGATGTGCTAATTTTGAAAAAAAAAATGGGTCAGTCCATGATAAAAGCTATATTTCATCGGGTTGTTTTTTTTTATTTTAAAAAATCCAATTAACTAGCTATTAGAATTTCACTGCATGCGTTTAATCATTTCCCCTTATTGTCACATTAAAAAATGGTACAATAGTCGTTCAACAACTGATTGAAGTTACACTGGGGAAAAAGTGACATGATCATGTTTCACACTTATGACCATCGCAGCATCCCCATGGTCGCGTAATTTACAGTTTGGATGTTTGACAACTGGTTCATATTTATGACGGTTGCAGTGTCCTGGGGTCATGTGACGGCTATCCTTGACCACCTCCTGACAAGCAAAATCAACGCCAAGATTCACTTAACGACGTCATTGTAAATTTAACCACTGCTGCGATTCACTTCACAAATGCGGCAAGAAGAATAGTGAAAATGGGATGAAACTTGCTTAAGAAGTTTCTCACTTAGCGACATAAATTCTGGGCTCAATTGGGGTTTTGAGTCGAGAACCGCCAGTACTTGGATGACGTTTTTGGAAGCGCTGTGGAGTTTTTAATCCAGGATTTTCATGGGTCACACATACCAGTTTGTGGGGAGGCCTCAGGCTAGAAACTGAGAGACTGTGAGTTCTGATCCTGATTTAGGCTCAAGCCCACGTGGATCACGTTAGGCCAATCACACTCTCTCAGCCCTAGGAGGGAGGCAATGGCAAGCCAAAAACCTTGCCAAGTAAACTGCAGGGACCTATTGAGCCAGGAATCAACACCAACCTGATACACACACAAACACACGGATGCCTTAAGTCAGGGGACACCAACCTTTCAGATCTCAGGGACCACTAAATTCATCATTTTAAATCCCGCAGACCTCTAATATATTCTGCCTAATGACAGTGGCAAGGAACAGAAGTACCAAAGGCTAAAAACCATCACCCCCCCCCCCAAAAGCTATTTTCCAAGGTTCGCAATTCTTTCTAAATTGAAAAACACAAACCGTTTTCCCTTCTCTTGTGTTTTGAGGATGGATTCCAATGTCCCTTCCTTCCTTCCTTCCTTCCCTTCCCTTCTTTCTTTCTTTTTAACCAGAGCACAAAGTTGCATCCCTTACATCAAATGAACTGCTAGTTGCTACAACTACTGACCAGACTGTTTTACTCCTGGGGGCAGAGAAGATGAATGTAGCTAGAGACCCAGAGATGGGGGGATTGAACGGAACTATTTCCCCTTCCCAATTATGTTAGCTATCCCCGGGCTGTAGACCATTTTAATTCTGTCCTGATGACATTTTGAGCGCAATACAACCTACCCAATGATTGGTCAACGGTGCAGATTTAAAATTACAGAACCACCATTATATTCAGCATTTTACAGCTGTGGCTTTAAGGAACATGAGTATTAAGAAGGACGCAGAACTCGTCCTTCGGCTTCAAAAGACCATTCTTTAGCTCCACGTTTTATGGCTTAATCTTCTACAAGTATTTATTTAATGTTACATAAATATAGAGGGGGGGGGGAGGAACTTCTTTAGGGCAAAGCGAGCTGCGATATAGAAGAGGGTTTATATAATCGTTTCTTCCATCTGATTTTACTGCAGTCAACTGAGGACATGACAGTGCGCTTAAAGGTTGTTTTTTTTTAAAATAAAAAATCTAGAATCAAGCTGTCTCCTTTAAATATAGCCGAAATCTAACCTGCTATACGAACTTAAAACTTAAAAGACTTAAGATCCCCTTTAGGAAAGTTGCTTGATGCGCTTTATGGGGCGTCACTGTGAATAACGGTGCACAGTTTAAATCTGACACAAATCCAAGAAACAGGCGAAATAGGGTTCCACCACAAAACCGCGGTAGACTAAAGCGCGCTCGANTAGTTGGATATTCTGCTCTAAATCTGCTTGTTCCTCAGTTAGAAAGTTCTTTTCCTCCAACCAGCCCCAAGGTGTCTAGTCCAGATTCCAGGCATGTAAGATTTATTTATTAGTCTCATCGTGCTTGAATAATTATTCTTTTTCTGGGCTCATTCAGATTGTCTTTTTTAAAGATTGAAATGATGATAGTGGTAACCTAATAAATACTGTATGAATTTGGATTGTGTTATAGGTAAAAGTGGGAAAGAGTAAATAGAATAGAATAGAATAATAGAGTTGGAAGGGACCTTGGAGGTCTTCTAGTCCAACCCCCTGCCTAGGAAGAAAACCCTATACCATTTCAGACAAATGGTTATCCAACATCTTCTTAAAGACTTCCAGTGTGAGGCTCTCACAACTTCTGGAGGCAAGCTGTTCCACTGATTAATTGTTCTAACTGTCAGGAAATTTCAGTTCTAAGTTGCTTCTCTCTCTTCGCTGCACTCTTTCTAGAGTCTCAACATCTCTTTTTATTAAGGCTATGCAAGAATGCATGGTGTGTTTTTTTGCCATGGTTATTAAGTGAATCA